TTAATCTTTGATGAATTTAATTAGTTTGCTAATGTTATACATGTTTATTAACTATCATAGGTTTATATGATATAAATATTACTTTTCAGAAAATGATTTTGTTTTTTCTATAAATACCAAAAAATGAACTATATATTTTTTATTTCAAATTTTTTTAAAAAAATAATAATTGCAAGAATTGATCAAGAGTAACAAATACTATTAGAGCTTGAGCAGGTTTAATAAATATATTTCACAAGCAATATGACTAATCATATTGAACCAAGATATTAGCGCAAACAGATGAATGATCAACAATATTTAAAATTGATGGTAAAAAATATTCAATAATGGCAAACAATGCCTAAATTTTTTTATAATAACAAATATTGCAAAAAAAAAAGAAAGTCAACTCAATCAATTCACAACAAATTTTAATGTTGGATATTTTTTAGTAATAAATTGATGTATGTAGACATTTTGAATTAATTTTACAATTTTTATATTATTTTTCATTTGATTTTTTTATTAAAGACCACGTAGTTAGTCATATCATGATGGTGATCTATCATCAGGCATGATTATTTTAGTCAATTGTATACGAAGTCGACTAAATTACCTAAACTAACGTTCCTTCTAGCACCTAAATTAACAAGAGCATCTACACTATGATTGTGTCAAAATTGAAACGTGGGAGATCTCAGCCAGTAAGGTGTGATAATTGTTAGGCGATTTGTAACCACGTCACTCTCATAATTCATCGAGATCATAATCCAGAGTTTGTAAATTAATTGATCCCTTGACCATGAGACTCACAATCAGACTGCAACCCACAAGTGATGATGACTATCTCTCTCCGAACCCCTCATTAGCTTTCAAGTGCACTCAACGCGGCTATTAACACAAAGCGCCTAAATTACCTAAATTGACTTTCTTGAGGTGACAAAATTAAGCGTATTTAGGTGATTTAGGCGATCGACGAGAATAATCATGCATGTGTATTATTGATATTAACTTGTGTGACTCTATGTTGAAGAACATGAGCTATACATATTTGTATATGAGTAGTTTTGTTCTTTGAATGCAATGTTTAGAAGCTTGATGCCTTGATGAATACAAATTCAACACTCTAAAGAAGCTTGACACAACAATGTTCAAGACACGGATACATCGTTGACACGTGACGCATTAGACGCGTGGTGCTGTGAGATCAAATTTAGAGTTGACACGTGAAGAGTCTCACATATGAAACGTCACGTAGGTGCGGGTAGCACACTTGAGTGATTATACACATGTAGTTATATCATAATAGTGATGTTTCATCAATATTAACTTGTCTGATTTTACGTTGGAGAGCCTAAGCTGCAGAGATTTGTACATGAGTAGTTTGGTTGAATCTTAAGTTGACATGTGACAGTCTAAGCTGCAGAGGTTTGTACATTAGTAGTTTGGTTGAAACTTAAGTTGACATGTGATAGAGTCGCAAGTGCAAGACGTCATGTTGGCGCGGCTAGCAAGCTTGGACAGACCACGCAGGCAGTTATATTATAATATAATGATGATGTATCATTGATATTAAATTTTCTAACATTACGTTGGAGATTCTAAGGTGTAGAGATTTGTATATAAATAATTTGATCGAATCTCAAGTTCACAAGTGCTCGAGTCGTACGTGACAAACATCATGTAGGAGTGAAAATCCCACTCGGGTAGGCCACACAAGCAATTATATTAAGGTGTAGAGATTTGTATATAAATAATTTGATCGAATCTCAAGTTCACAAGTGCTCGAGTCGTACGTGACAGACATCACGTAGGAGTGATTATCCCACTCGGGTAGGCCACACAAGCAATTATATTATGATGATGTATCATTGATATTAAGTAAACTGACTCGGGTAGGCCACACAAGCAATTATATTATGATGATGTATCATTGATATTAAGTAAACTGACTGTCGCGGACGGTAACTCCTTGACGGAACCGGATCAAAAGTGGAGGAATAGCTTAAACATGAACGAGAACAGGCTAAAGATGAGGTGATTTCTCATAGCGACTCAACTAAGATTCAAAGATGAGAGAATTGGATTGATAACGGAAAGCGAATTCACAACTAGTGTTAAAAGTGAGGAACAACGTCCCTTACCTCTCTATTTATACTAGACTATGTTTAGATTTGCTTCGCCTTCAAGTCAATGAGTAGTTGCTTGCGAAGCTTCCTAAAACAAGAATATTTAGGAACTAGTGGAAGGTTAATGAACCTTTTAGAAACTACCTAAAGTTAATCGTAGACTTAACCATCGATATTCTGGAATCTACGTGTCTCATGGATAACTCGTGGGGGGTAAGTAGAGTTTGGTATAGCATGTCCGTGACACTGACTCTACATTGGAGAGCCTAAAGGGTAGAGATTTGTGTATCCGTAATTTGGTCAAATCTCAAATTGACATGTGGCAGATCCGCACTTGCGAGACGCCACATAAACGCGGCTAGCACGCTTGATTAGACCACACATAATATAATATCATGATGATGATGTATCATCTATATTAACTTGCTTGAGTTTGCGTTTGAGGAACTAAAATGCAGAGATTTGTACATCATTAGTTTGTTCAAATCTCGAGTTGACACGTGGTAGAGCCGTACTTGCAAGACGTCATGGAGGCGCGGCTAGCACGTTCGAGAAGACCAAGCAAGCAGTTTTATTATGATGATGATGTATCATCGATATTAACTATAGTTAAACTTAGTCATAACTAGCTACACTTAGTTAAACCTAAACTTAACATGATCAACTACTTCACACATACAAACAACTGGTCTTACAAGTTGAATCTCAAAAATCAAACAAATTGACAGATCACGCAAAAAGTTATATCATGATGATGACATCTTATCGATATTAAATTATTTGACTTTACATTGGATAGCATGACCGGTAGAGAATTGTATACCAACTGTTTGGTCAAATCTCGTGTTCACACGTGTAAGAGCTGCACGTGTTTTTTGATAAAAAATGCAATAATTTAACAATTGGATGACAATCAATTAGATGTTGATTGATGTAATATTTTCATTGATTTTGTTACAAATCATTTTAAAACAAAATTGTGCTAACTGAAAACTATTAAAAAAGTTATGAGTTGTTGATAAGCTTTTGAATGTTATTGAATAGAATGCAAAGTTTTATATTATTATTGTATCATATCTTGAAGCAATTTCAAAAAATTTCAAGAAAAACAACATAATTGTTCTTCCATACATATGTCATGATTACTATTTACGATCATCTCCTACATTAAGCTGATAAATGTTTTGATAATGTATTGTTTACTAAATGTTGATGTTAATTTTTTATCATCAACTTCTTTAAGCACAACATGAATGTAAGTATTGCAAGCTTTCAAAATTTGACAAATCATGAAAAAATAATAATTGTTCAATCGTAGATCAAGTTAAAGATATCAAGATCAAAACACTATTACTTGATGAAAGTATGATAAAACTTGCTATATCAAGAGAGATTGTATTAACAAGACAAGTAAAACTTTTGTAATTTTTTCATATAATTAAGAAAAAAATATGATATTATGCTCAATGGCAAATATGCTTCATGATGACAACAATATGATATATATAATTCATCAAAATTAATAAAATTATGGATTTTCTATGTGATATAAATATACTCAGTTTGTTTAAATTGTTTTTGTATATGTGGAAAATCAAAAAATTTAATTTGAATGAGAAATGATTTTTTTTTCAAATTAAAGATATTGGAAGATTAAAATTTAATTTTTTATAGTCTTATGTGCACATTCACAAACGTCAAATATATCTTTGATAAAACCAAGAATTGACATTTTTTGGAGTTGTTAGTAGCAAAATGCTCATAAACAAAAACCTGTATATTCATCAGCAGAAAGTATATATCTATGCAGTTAAGTCCAATATTCTGTGAAGAATTCTGAACCTCCAAACTTTTAGAATTCTGAATATTGAAAATCTGTAACCAAAGTACATTAACAAGATAAAATTGAAATGTTTTTTGTCTTTAAATGCATACTTTAAAAGAGATAATTGAACATTAAAAAAATGACTGGTATGCACATCCACATTTTTCAAATTTTCAGAATTGTGTATTTGATTTGATATGGAAATGAATCGAAATCATAAATCTGAAGTTTCTTTCATTTTCAACAAGTTTAATATCTAAGTTTCCATTGATTGAAAATAGAGAATTTGCTATCATGAACAACTATATATAGAAACTAAAGAATTAATATGCATTGTGTTGAGATGTATAGTGAAACAAAAGTAAATAATTCTATATCTTACCAAATATATATTTCATAACACAATAAGTTGCTCCCACCAGGAAACATCTATATGAAGTATGTATTGGTGGACATCATCGACTGACTAGTCATAACTCTCGGGAGCAACTTCATGAATCAATGACAATATCTACTTGCAAGTAAAGTCATGAATTTGTGAGTTTAGGTTGTTATAAAAATTATAATGAGTTTAATCTTCCAACATTGATATTTGTTCTTCTACAAATCAAAGAATCGATGGGTTTCAAAGATTCGTTCACAATGAATGACAAGTGAATGTTATAATAAGATAAGAGATACATGGTTCATGGTGGAAATCATAATAGAAAAATAGTTATAATAATCGTAAATTGAATCTAGTTCACCCACATTGTTCTAAACAAATTAAATTAAGTGTGATACAGAAATCTTAACCTTCAACTATTAATATGTAATAAATTAATTCCGAATAACACAAAATTATAATCTTTAAATAATAAATATAAAAATAGAAAAATTCAAGTATACAATCGTTAAAATATAAAAATCAACCCTCTTTCAAATAGTAAAGAGTAAAGCCAATGCGAGAGGAGTTACCGGTATCCAGCTTCTCGTAAACTGTCCGGAGCAAGAGTGGCATGACGGGTACTCTTCTCAGCCTGTAGTCACCCGCTTGGAGAAGAATTTAGGCCCGAACCTACGTCCTCAACGTTAAACCCCGACCTGAAGCCAAAACGCACAAAGCCTCTAAACCCCCGTTCTGGACTCTGAAATTGCACTTCTGGGAAGCAGCAGATTGCAATCCGATCTGCGTCGAAGGCCTATTTTTCTCTCGACAATGTTCGATTGTTGGGCGATGACGCGCGAAACTTTTCTCCGGATCCCGAGAAACTTGTCTTCTTCACAGCCATGGTTGCAGAAGGGGTGATGGGTGTGGTGGGAACATTTAACACCTTGGCTTCTTGAGTTCGAGGAATTCGCTGTGATTGAGCTGCTGTGAGTTCTTCAGTGCTATCAGCATCGGGAATCGAGGAATTTAGTAGGATGAGAGCCTCAGTACAGAGCAGAGTGTTCCAGATGATGTCTCAGATTTTAGGGTACCCCAGTCGTATCGGACCAGGCAACGGATGTGCCCCACAGATGGGAAGAGCTTTCAGTGCTTCTTCGAGTTTAGGAGAAAGAAAGCAGGATATCTTCTCTAGCTTAGGATTGGGAACTTATGATGGTGCATCGGGTATGATGTTGAGGCAAGAATGCGAGAAGTCCGAGATTGCTGGAAGATTTATGGATCGCCACTCACCTGCTGTACTGCTGTTGAAAAACCAGTGCGGAGTCGGACGATCGAAGCGAATGGAGATAAGCACAAACAATCAGCAGCAGGAGGAGTCACTGCCCACTGTTTATGCTCATAATCGACTGATAAGTGTCTTGATGGAGGGAGGGTATCATGAGGAGGCGTACCACATATATCAAGATATGCTGCTGGAAACTTGCAAGCCTGACTCCCATACATACGTTCGGTTAATCATGGGATTTTGTAGGGCCGGGAGGATCGAAGAAGCATATGGGATTTTTCAGGATATGAAAAACCAGAACTGTGAATCTAAAGGTATTGTGTACAATGCCATGATACATGCGGTTGGGACAGCGGGTCTTGTATCCGAAGCTTTAAAGCTGTTGGATGAAATGACAGAAGCAGATTGCTCTCCGGACACATGGACGTACAATAGTGTCATACATAGCCTAGGCAAAGTAGGTGATGTGAATCACGCTCTACGTCTCCTGGAGACCATGCACGTCAATGGCTGCAATCCGGACGTAATTACCTACAACTCGCTGATTTCCTCATTAGGCAAGTGCGGACGAGTTGTGGAAGCATGCAAGTTGTATGAAGGGATGGTTGAAAAAGGTTGTCTACCTGACGTTGTTACTTATAACACCCTTATTCCAGTACTTTGCAAGGCTGGTGAATTTTCTGCCGCTCTTAATTTGTTTAAGTTTATGCAATCTGTGGGATGTCGGCCCGATGTCTTTACATACAGTTCTTTGGTAGTAGGTCTGTGCAGAGCAGACAGAGTAGACGATGCCTTGCGTCTATCAAGTCAGATGACTCTCAGTGGATGCTCTCCGAACACAGTTACATTCAACTCTTGGTTGGATGGACTTTGCAAGGAGGGCCGAGTAAGAGAGGCGCAGGTGCTTTACCAGAAAATGTTGACACTAGGATATATTCCTGATGTTATTACGTTCTCCATACTCATAGATGCCTTTTGCAAGAGTGGTGAATATCTGGAAGAGGCCTTTAAGCTGCTGAAACTCATCGTGAAAAAACCGGACACCGTGGATGTCCGTACACGTGACATTATTCATAATAGTTTCATGAGAGTGGGCATGATGAAACAAGCAAAGCGGATCATGAGGAACGCCCGGCACAAGCGGGTCAGGTTGCAAAATCAAGCTGGAGATGTAAAACACATGTAGAAATGTTTGGATCGCAACTGCGGGGGTTCTGAGCTATCTGTAGCCAGCAAGGTGTTTGCGGTCTACATGATCAGATCATGAATATAAAAAGTTATCGAGAGGGTTCTGCAGTGGATGATTCTGGAAACAGCCGTGTTTAGCTCGAGCTTCGAGCGAAATTGTAAAAAATTTGAGTCTTGGATGAAAGATTATCAGCCTGATTTGATCCTCACAACATCAGCAGTGCCACAGACGAAGAGGTTGCAGAGGCTGTTTCCCTGTCATCTTGCACAGTTACTTCGGCGTCAGCTTCACCTTAGAAGTTTGTGAAGAAATAGGTGGCCGATGAAACTCAGGCGGGGAAGGTTTCGTGCATTATGGCGTCACTGGTATTTTGTTCATATTCTCAAACTTTAAACTGTTCTCTCATACGTATTTCATTTTGAGTTCGATTTCCAGTAAAGGACCTCAACACAGAAAGCCTTCATATTGAAGTATCTTGAGTTTCCCAAGCGATTCGGTGTAGATGACAAGTGCTCTTAGTCAATGCGGATGATGGCAGGAATAATAATGTTCCCAGACCTGCTTGACTGGGAAATAAAACTGCACAGTATTATACCAATGGTGAATCTTTGTATTTGTATCCCAGATATCTGTAGATGAAGTTTATGATTTGGTCTCTTGGGTTGTATTTTCCTCTTAGTCCTGGTTTTTAGTCTCACTTATGTTGTCAGCCGTACTGCTGCCAGCCTCACCAGTTAGTAACGTTTCTTCGTGTCCCTTATCTGATAGTCGAAAGGAATGTCTTCCTCGTCTTCAAAGTCATATGTTTCAACTTGCTGTTGATATTCTGCAATCTTTAGTTTTCCGTTCTTGACATCATATGCCCTATTCTTCCAGTTATGTGGCTTCTTATCTAAATTAGCATTTCCTTTTTCCCGCAGGTGAAGATTGCATAGACTACAGTTCTATGCAATCTTATCAGACGAACACAATATCATTTTCCGCCATCATGTCAGCGATGGGGCAAACAGCAGCTCCGACTACTTTTACCGCCGGAGTAATCAGGTATACCAATAGCTTAAGTGCCGATCCTTCTGCTGTGTCTCGTCCTTTAAGAAACTTCAAGTTGGACATCTATCTTCTAACAAGGAAGGAAAGATCTTGATTGATATAGTCGTTGCGGGACTAAGCGGAAGGGTCGGACGGTCTTTTCAGAGAAGATATTCTTCATGAACCATCAGAGGACGTCCTAGCCGATGAAATCTGTTCTTTGTTACCCCCTTGTTTGCTACGAAAGTGTTTTGACCATAAGACTGAAATTCTTTTTTCTTTTTCTGTACCAAATAAAATTATACGTCACTTGGCAAGGGCTCGGGAGGCACACACCAATGTGACTTACTCGCGGTTGTAGAGTATCTGTTCGCACACTGTCTTTCTGTGATGCGTAAGTGATGGGGTGTGAACTAGTTGCAGTTGTAGGGGTGTGGAGTTACACTAGAGTAGACCGGTCAGTTTTCACTGTTAACTACTCCTTGCAGCCGTTTCTTCTTGCTTTTATGTTCCTTTGCTGTCTGAAGATGTCCTCCTGCTTTGAGTGATGGACTTCTTTCTACTTTCAGTTCACATTTTACCACTTGCGATCCGGGGTCTCTGGTCTCCCCAAACTCCCAGTCCGAAATTTTCCTCAAACTCTTCTCAAATATCTCAAACTTTGACAACAGTTATAATGTTCCAAAGCAAGTGCCTCATAGTGCATTTCCCTTTCCTCCTACTGACCTTGAAAGTCTGGAAGTGAAGTCGAAGGTCAAGTTCTAATCTCTTCTCAAAGCAGCAGGTTTGTGGGAGAAGACACAGGCTAGACTGTACTCAAAAGGCATCACTGAGTGCAGTCTGCAACGACTATTTAGAATTCATTTTGAATTTCTACATTAGCAGATTTGTCACTTACACCTATATCCATCGTATGTGGCCTGCCTGACGTGGAGCTTGCCATGCGCTTGTTTATTTCACTGTCGTCGAGAGCACTAATTAGTGCAAGTGCTAATTGCAGTATTCCTGTTTGAAGGCAGAGGAAAGTCTTGCCATGATTGTTCTTCAGAGTGCGAGCATTTGTTCTGGAGAAACTGATATGTGTTAAAACTGCAGAGCACGATTTGTGGACTTCACGCAAAAGCTAGTGAGCTACTCGTCCGTCTCGCGGGATTCCGGGCAACTCCTGCTGGTGACCTTTTTGGCGAACCTCCCTGTTCCTTGTTGGCTCCGCGTCGGGTTTTTGTGTGAAAGGCAAAAGGGCAGGCAAAAACAATCCTCAAAGGTGAAAACTTTCAGCTACGAGGGCAAAACGCTAGGAGGAAGGAGGATGGACAAAGAGTGTACGTTAGATTATCAAAGTGTGGGTGGGTAGTTAGAGTATGGGACCACGTCGGGACCATCGGTTCCGAGGACACATCGGAATACGGAGATGCGACGAAATTGTAAATCTTATCTTAAGAGATGCAGGACGGGTCATTTTTTGAGAAAAAAAAGATGATGTATTTAGAGAAGCTTTTGCTTGGATCTTGGTAGAGAGCATCACGTGGATGGGCAACGCCTACCTGCAATAGGAATAAGGACACTTGGAAGGTGATCTGGTAGGTGGGCTCGATTTTATTCCATATACGATTTTCTCTCGATTTTCTCTCCATATTGCGTACTGCTCTGTAGAGGAGTTCTGCAGACCTATGGCCAGCCAGCGAATTCTCAACGCTGCGATGATGCCGAATTATACTGTATTATGAGACTCTTGAAAATGCAGCGAGTATTCGGACAGGGTGGACAATACTGACGCCTGGACCTATGCACACTACCTGTCCTCAAGTCCGAGCGGTGGTAGAATACGGAGTGCCTAGAGCTTGGTGATTCATGGAAAATGTCTCCATTTACAACGTTTTGTTTCGCTTCCCGTCACTTTACAAATGCGAGAGGAACTAAAGAGACCTGATTATTTCTCAGACTCTGCTACAATTCTCGTGTTTTTCTCTTGCAATAATGTAAGTTTCCGATCATGAATCAGATGTTTCGAATCACATCAGATTTTTTTAATTGCCAAGAATGAAACTTTACTTGGGTTCAAGTACTCGAAATTTATAATTTTGTAATAAAGTGAATGTGAATCTATTTGAAGTACATGTTTGTAATAATATTCTGAACATTTTTGGCGAAGTTGCCATATGTTACATGTGATGTATATTTTTCAATAAATTCTGTTTTTTTATTTACAGAAAAAATAGTATATTAGAGCCAGTGTCAAAGTTTTAAACATACGTACAAAATAGTTTATGTGTTTTGAAGTATTGAGTCATATGTTTTAATAATAATAGATAATATGGATTCATTTATATTGTTTTAAAGATTTTATTTTTTCATATATTATTTTTTAAAAATAAATATTTATAATATATATCCAATGAATTAAATATATTAAAATTTAGACATCTTATTCTTGACTAATATTTACTCATCAGTTTTTTTTATGCTAAATATCACGCTTTTGATTTCTATTTCTCGCATGCACAATGTTTTTGCATGTTAAATTATACACAAATGTGTTAAAAAAACTTGAAAAATCATTGATTCAAACTTAATTTATAACATTTTTATATTTGACATCAATTATAAAGTTTTCCAAATCATCATAATATAGATATTGTGCATGGCCTGCCCAAAAAAAACCTAGAAGATGATCGATATAAATTACACTATTTATGATTATGAATACATCATCATTTAAGATAACAAATTAGTAATATTCCAATCAACTAAAATTAAATAACCTGAATTATAATCAATTTTGAATACAAAAATGATGTTTATAGACTCTTCTACGAGTCAAATTTGGGATGGGGAATTCAATTCATAAACCAAGTGAATGATGTTCTAGTCAAGTTCACTCCGGATCAAAATTAACAAAGTAGATGCTTATGTTTGAAACTAGCTCTTGTATAAGAGATGTTTATTTATCATGATTGAGAGTAGTAGTTACGAATGTCATATTAATTATGGGAGGGTCTAGTTATCACTCACTTTATGCTAATTAGTCCTCACCCTAATATAAGATTTGCGGACGTTCCTCACTACTTATAGGTGTTAGTGGCGTTGCATTGATGGCGGTTAATATCATTTCTAACTTGTTGTGTGCTTAGTGTTGCTTCATGTGGCAAACATGATGTGTCTCACGCCTGCAGCGCCAAAGTTAAACTTGCCACATCAAAAGAATTTGCACATCACTCCTTTTGTGCATCCAGCTCTACGCCTTCACTATCTAAAATTAGCCAAATGATCATCACGCATGTCAGATCTTATAGCACCAACAATTGATGCACAAGCAATTTTCTGTGGAAGCACATCGCATCAGTCATGTAGACTTGCTTGAAGGCCATAACATCTTCGACGGAGAAAGTTTTGTAGGCTACAACACTCTCTTGGTTACAACTTGTAACCAAGAAGTGTATGACGAGGAAAGAGACATGGCTAACAATAAGTGAGGCCTGTGATATCCAGATTCTGCACTCCAAGCAGGAATTAAACTCTTGTTAAACAAGCTCAATGTGTACTTCAATCTATTACAGAGCCACACATGCATCGATCTGGCTCCTAACAAGTATAGTAACATATAAGAGTTTATTGTCAAAGCCGTAGAGCGAGATGCACGAAAGGAGTGATACGCAAAATCGTTTGACGTGGCAGGCTAAACTTTGATGTGGCATGCGTGAGCCATGTCACGCTTGCCGCAGGGAGGAACACGAAGGGCGCAACAAGTTAAACAAACCATTAATCCAGCACCACTAAAAACTATAAGGATTGACGAATGGCCGCAATACGCAAAATCGTTTGACGTGGCAGGCTAAACTTTGATGTGGCATGCGTGAGCCACGTCACGCTTGCCGCAGGGAGGAACACGAAGGGCGCAACATGTTAAACAAACCATCAATCCAGCACCACTAAAAACTATAAGGATTGACGAATGGCCGCAGATTGAATAATAGGGTGAGGGCTAATTAGCTCAAAGTGAGGTATAACTAGCACCTCCCTTAATTATAGCTATAAATTGTAGTAAAAAAACGTAGACACAAACATTGGAATGAATCTAGTTTTCATAGACTTACTGTGAACTCTTTGAATTCTACAAAATTCATTGTTTCCATTCATGTTTTCATGGAACATGAAAAAAGAATAACTGATTTTATGTTGTATACTACTCTTTCCATTGACATCACATGGAATGACATTAGAGATGTTGGAGATATTCAGCAATTTATGCCGCTGCCAATTATTCAACAACTAGATATATTTGACTGATAAAAAACCATGTGGTTTTGGAGGTGAGAAATTAAGAAGTTGACTGGTACACGAAAGGGAGTCACGAGCATCGCCCATGTCGAGTTCTACGTCGTGCAGCAATGGACCTTGGGATGGAAGAAAGTCCGAGTTTGGAGATGCTAGATGCATTTGTTCTTATTCCTTTGAAAGAACCTTTGCGTTGGTGTAATGGATTTTGGATTACTGATGTTGTTGAATGTTAGATAAACCTTCATCTTTTGACAAGTGACGCGGTGCTCACCCTATTGATTTCAAACCGTGGTTCCATGTGCACTAGGAGGGGTTGCATCCCTCCATGCCACTAATCTCAAGGATCTTGTCGGTGTATGCGATCTAGTTCTGAGAGATGCAAAAGTTTTGCCTCACCCAAATGTCGAGATATAACATGAGCAATCTCAAATTGCTCATTCAAAATAGTTTTTTCATCTACTCCTTCAACCGTGAAATTTTCAGCTCATCGTTGTTGTTGATGATTAGGTCGTTGATGTACACACCGAAAAAAGCGCGCCGCTCTGTCATGCAAACTCCAAACTGACTCTCACTCAGGTTTTGCGGCAGCGCATCATGGTTCTAGAATACTATGATTCATCCTCACACTCATAGCCCAAAACACTCACTCACACAATCACTCAAGGTAACACTCCAACTCACATACACATCGACACTCCAAGCTTCCGAAAATTGTCACTCTTTCATATATGAAACAAGTACTCACACATGACTCTTTAAACTTGCTTGAGAGGTGTTACTCTACCTTTCTATTTATACTACTTGAGAAGTTACCATAGTAATATGTGATAATTTTTCATAACTTACTTTTACCTAGGTAAGTTTGACTAACCCACTCTATGTGGCAAAATGCCATTGGCCTACCTAAACCTTCTAGAGGTTTCCAGAATCCAAGATTGAGATGGCGACATGCTATTGAAAGCTTTTAAACTTCTACAAGCTTCTTAGTCACTAAGTCAACACTAGACTTAGTCTAGCCAATCATCTTTCATACATTTAATCAAACCAATCAAATCCAAGCTTCTAGTCAAATATCTAATCCCTTGGATTCTATACCTTTGGAAAAGACAAAATAGAAGTGCTCACTCCTTTCTAGAAGACAAAATAGAAGTGTTCACTCCACTCTTCTAGAACTCCGCTCATTCTCCCACCAACTATAGACATTGTGGCTAAAATTAGTCATGACTAGATAAACTTAGTTATAACTAACTCGTTTAGTCATAACTAGCTAGACTTAGCTATGCATTGGCTAATCATCCTTAATCACTTGACCAATCCTAAGATTTAGTACATATGTGCAACATCCGGTCTTACAGTCATCGGGTGCTTACATGACATGCTTCGGCTGAACTCGAGCAAAAGCAAACAACTTGCAAATTTAGCGTTCCAAGCCCAACGTAATCCGTATAGCTTCTTGTTGAGGCGCATCACTTTTTCTTCCTTGCCATCAACGCCAAAAACAAGAGGTTGAGAGACGAACACTTCATCCAGTAGCTCATCATTGAGGAAAACGTTCTTCATGTACATGTGATGGGCGGTCCATTCTTCGTGAACAATGAGGTTGATCAACAAGCGAACAAATACAAGACGCGTCAGCGGCGCAAACATCTCGTCGAAGTACATTCCCTATTGCTGAACATATTCCTTTGCAACGAGCCGCGCTTTGTGCTTGAGAACGATGTCGTTGACGTCGCGTTTTAGCTTAAACATCCACTTCAATCCTATTGGCTTATCACCTGCATGAAGATCAACAGGTCATCAAGTATGAATCTCAACGATGGAGCTCATCTCCTCATCCATGACGCACCGCCAGTTGTTGTTGTTTGCAATTGTAGCTAATATGTGAGGCTCGTTGATTTCTCCAATGTGGAGGTCATCATCTTTGACCACGAAGTTGTCGTAAAGTGATTCGGCTATTGATCGTTTTTTCTACTAAAGCCGCTTGCACGTGTCAAGTTTCACAAACTTTAGCCAAGATCGGTGTTGTCAGAATTTAGTAAGTACTTTGGATTTAACAATGATTTGTGAGATAAATCCTGATCTATTTACTTTTGACAAGTCACTTGGAACGTGGCAGGACAAACTAGAGTTGACAGTGCAAACAGACAAGTAATTACTTTTTCGCAATGTCTTGGAGGCGGCATGTCACGGTGCAGCAAGATGGCAGCTCATTCAACCCCTGCGTGTAACTCATTTGGGTGTCAGTTCAAAAGTTCCAAAATGTACAGTAAGAGCAAGTGAGGTTTTCTATGAAGTTAGGACAATCATTTTTGAAGTTTAAGTAGCATATGCCGGTCTAATTCTACATGAGAAGATTTTTTTCCTCCTTAATTAGTGCACGAGAGCAAAGAGCTCAAGGTTAGAAACTTGGCAGAGTGAGTTGATCAAGGAGAAAGTACCATTCAATTCCCAGTGACAGCTTGTTTGTTTCTGCCGAGCTAGAGCATGCACTAGCAGGCAGGATTCAGTAGATAGTATCATGTGCTTTAAACTGAATGCAAGGTCTTGTAAATCATATGTTTCAATGAGATAGCAACATGTAACACTAGGGTTTAGAGAGAATTTCATTCGAAGATGGAAATATAAACTTTGAAGATGATAGATACCAACCATGGTTCTCCTCTTACTTATATAGCTATTACAAACAAGTACAATGAGATAACATCTTATCTTCACCATACATCCCACTCATAGTGGATGGATGAGGTGGGGGATAACTCT